GTTCATCTGCATGATGCCCTCTAAGCCATGTATACATAAGACTGGGAGAAAATGGAGAGAAAACATATAACACATTAGTAATCATAGAATACATCTAAATGACTGATTTGTTTTCACATTTGCAAAGGCAAATTTTAGAAATTTTGTGTAAGTCTACAAAAAACTCTTTGCACAGAGTAAAATTTTAAAGACTCATAGAATAGTAACTGTATTAATTCTGGAGGTAGCAACAACCTGATAATTACCTCTCTGATGCATGACATATTAATGGGCAAATTTTGCTCTCCAGAGAACATGCTGTACTGTATATTTCTCTTATTTAACTTCATGGAAGCTCACTGGGCATTCCAATTATGCTGTCTTGGTTTATTTCATGTTCCATGCCTTATGACATAATGGCTGCCTCCCACTGTTATTTATATATTCCTATAACAATATATTATATTGTTTTATACCTCTAGGGAAATTAAGTAAGAATGAGGTAAATGTTGCAATTTCGTTAGGAACGGCAAAGTTAATTAAATAGAAAAACACTGAAACAAGCAGTACATATACATGCTATTGAATATCTGGACTGGAAGCACTGATACTCTCTTGCATGTCACAAGGCTCAATGAATGGTTTTACTATAGACAGATTAATTCATAGCAGAGTGAGTTCATCTCAGAGGTTGTGAGGACTTTTCTGAGGGATGACCTGGTACCTGCTTCCCCTAAGAAGGACAGACCAGTAGTGATGCAACCTCACCTGGGTCCTCTGATAAAAAGTCGTTCTTGCTATATTATCATTTTGCCATTTTTGTGCAAGGTTCTATGGATGGCAGTGGCTTCTGAATTTCTATTGGATTTTGAGGACCATAATCAGAGGAGCAGAGAGATCCTTTGACCAAAACAAAGCAGTGAAAAACACAATAGTATGATACACACCCTTTTCAGTCTGAAGATCCCACTTTAACCTTGTGGCTCCAGATTGGTTATACCACACTCAGCATAGGTTGCACAACCCTGATCTACATGAAACTGTTGGTAGGCAATAGAAACATGGGCAATGAATCTACCTGTTTGCTTCCCACTACTAATAATGGAGGGACTGTGAAATATTTAACAAGTTCCTGGATGTAACTTCGGCATCACTGAGAAAAATCAAGTTGAAGTTTAATACAGATAATTTTACAGCCCTACTGATACTGAAATTTGCCTTAATGACGGGGGTGGGTATGTTTATCTACCAGGTCCTCTTGAAGAGTTTGGGATCTTTGCTGGATTTGAAGTGCACATCCTGAGAGAACATACCTTAGCCATGCATTCCTAAAGACATACAAC